CCAAATGCCATAAACCTCATAATAACCTACATTACCGACAAGTTGAACCACACTACCTTGAAGAGTTATTTTCAAGAGCATATGTAGTTCAGGTTCACCCGGAAATGACATTTGGGCGACAACAACGTGAAGTGAGAGCACCCAAATTGGTACAGAGCAATTAAGTACTGAGTTACTTAGAATAGTTATATGACGTGTTATTCGTTGAGCTTTGTGAATTGAATGTTGTTCTTTTTTGTTGCCTTTTACCAACCTTCCCAATTTTTAACTATGATTTTAATTAAATACCAGCTCTTAACTTTTGGATGGTGGATAGTACGTGAAGAAAAAATCGACTTTCAAACCTTCCGTCATTAGTTTTATCTTAGTAAACTACCTGTCTAAGGTAAGTGAAAGTTAAGCTTTTCCCCTAGTTAATATTTTTTTATTTAATAATATCCATTCTCTGTTATTAATTACCCTGTAAACAGCAATGTTGGGCGTGGCCTATCGAGACGTATACAACTCGCTTGAGGTCTACTTGTTAAGATATGACCTTACCTCCCGGTAACTGCTCTATAATAGAGCACTCAATTTATTTGGCAGTGTTAAGCAACAAATTACAAGGGATCTTATTAGCGGATGTTAAATGATTTCATAATTATCCGTGTATTTTGAATCAATTCTTATTACCCAACCTTGATATATCTTTATAGATACATAAATATGAAATACTGTCTGTAGTTTACGCAAGTAGTAGAGATTTAAACGAAGAATTCGCCAAATACCAACTTCGACAGAATAGATGGGGCAGGCTAGCGTAGGAATTTTTAAGTTAGACTCATCGAACAGTATCGATCACTCAATCAATCAATATCGATGCGTTAGTTATAAAACCGAACCGTAGCGAACTGGTTAAACATTTGGTCTAGCGCTGCGTTAAGCACGAGAGGTTCTGGTTTCGAATCCAGAGGAAACAATGTGTTTTTGTCGGGCAGGACACAAAGGTCTGATACTTGCTTGTAAATCAAAAGCAACCAGTGCAATGGACACAGAAATGTGTTTGCTTCGTACACGTCGGTGGGGAGGGGGGAAATGGGTAATTTCAATTTACATCTAAGATCGGAGTAAAAAGTAATAAATAAAACGTTAATTATTAATAGATAATTATGATATTACAACAGTAGTATGTAACTCAAGTAATTGTAAAGGTTGCTCAAGTGCTTCCAATTAGAATTGGTCAATTACTTATTGAAAGAATGATAATTATCAAATTGCAAATGCACGATTAGTCGAAATAGTTTTAAAATTTTAGCGTTCTTTGAAGTTTTGCCTTGTTGCCCAAAATAGGAAAATTTATAGATAATATGTGAGAGTATTTGGGTTCCATTAATGAAAATTTAAATGCTATATATAAAAAGGACTCGCCCTCGACTTCAAAATGCTATGGGAACACTTTTCGGCCTTAAGAGGTATAACCAAGTACCTAAGTTATTTCGCGATAAAAAAGAGAAACATCTAATTTTCACCTATACTTAAAAAAATAATAAAAGTAGTGTGTAAAACTAATTAAGGATTTCATTGAATTTCTTGTCTTACTTTTTTATACTTTGCATTACGCATTGTCTGTAATTTACGCGAATTGCACACATTTCAATAAAACACCTTAACTTGTTTGACAATTATTTTTGACTGCGGCCCGACGTTTCGGATGCTTTGTCTCCCCGTGACCACGGCTTCGCGTTTTAAACCGTTAAAGTGTTTCATTTAAATGTGTACTACTCGCGTAAGCTACAGACAGTACACGGCATTTATTTGTTTTATTTCATTTTAAACTACCTGATTTTTGGGATGCCTTGCAATTAAAAATAAAACCCCTTGTATTAAATCTTGTTATACATATAAAAGTCACATTCGCAACATCTAAAACATGATGTAATTGGTATTTTATTAGGCTTTGTCGCCGGCCTTGCGTTAATTCTTGACATTTCGCGTAGTTTTAAGTAATAAAAGTAATTAACTTCAAAACGAGTACATTAATTAGATTAAGGATTACTTAAATGTCAGAGTAGTGATGTCATAATCATGAATTACATTTAAAATAAGCCGCCTAAATTCAGTGAGTAATGGTCGTAAGTTGGTGAAAGTATGTAGCGTTTGAGGGTAGTTGCATTTTAAAAAGCGCAAAAACTGAGGGTAACCTTCTTGTTAGAAAATAAGAAAAGGCATACAGTTAAAATCCTGAACACAAGTCGGATGTGATGTCGACCTACTAAATACTATAAATACATAAGAGAAATCCTTTTCCTCCCCATATGGGGCACACAGTTTTGTGTCGGTTACACTGATGAGTTATATGTACTGGCAAGTGGTTGATCAGATTTCTGTGCCCTGCTTGACCGATTTTTTTTTGTATTGTAAATACGTTACGGAGATTAAAACCCAGGACCTCTCGCGCTTGATACAATGCGCCTAGCATTTAATACTTTTAACCGTTTAGCTACAAAGGCAGTAGAAATGCATAGACCAAAAATAAGACTATAAACTTTTTTCTTTGCAGTTTTAGGCGTCGTGACTTCATGATACAAATGGAATTGCATTTTAGATTTAGTTTAAAAACTGTTAAGTAGAATTTGCGGTATAGAGCACAAACGTGGATGCGTTCTTCCAAATTAACATTATGATTTAGGTACAGGCAGACATATCAAATTAATTTCCCTTGTGCAATATTCTCAATATGGAAAAACTGTTTAGAAAAATAAAAACTAAGTACATACACAGTATGCAGCGCAAAAGTCGTTACATGGAGAAGAATGTGCCAACACGCACTATACAGTTCTCAATTATAGTGATTCAAGTGTCTGTAGCTATTATCAGACGTTTTTGCTAAGTCAAAAAGAATTCCTGCGTCCAAACTACAGGGCCGATCTTGATGAAAATTTGCAAATAACCTTAACCTCCCACGCCACATGACGAATAATCTACATAACATTCCAAAAACATCAGAGTCTGGAAACACTCTATATAAAAAGCAATGAGTAAAAATTAACATATGTTTGTTTTATCACATACATTTGTGTTTCATTTACATACCCATAGACTTAGTGACTCTTCTGTATACTCTTAAACTATCCTAAACCATTAATCACGTTTATAAATTTCAAACCGAAGACCCTTTGCTCATTACGCGATGTAAGGCGCGCTTTTAATAACTAAGGAGGTGCAAACTCACGCGCATTATGACAATTTAAACTTTCACTTTTAAATAAAACACTGAATGATAGTATATATGTATTTATTCTACATTTACAACCCTTTCGCGTCAGGCTTACGTGTCCTGCATTTTATATTGTCCTTTTACATTCTAAGCATTACATATTATGTGAGCCTCGATCTTTATGTAACGATGCAATTACATCATTTGAACATGTATTTTTTATTGCATTTTTGTTTATTCTACTAAAGGTACAAATTATTGATTTAAAATGCTTGGAGATACTGAAAACGTCTGGCTTTCAGTCTATATGTGCTGGTAATCTCTGGTGGATTTGCAATACACCGAATATGATTAAAAAATTCAACTGTATTTTAGTCAACAATATTTCAGATTTTTTACTTATATTAACCAAAAACATGTCAATTCTTTTGGCTTAAAAAAAGCTAATATTAGCGTAATTCTGGGAACGCAAATGTTGTGAATTAATAATTAATTTTAAGTATAAAACAAGTTAATATAAATAATTTAAGTAAAGCTTACAAAAATCGATAATTTTACAATTCTTTCTTAAATTGACTAGTTAAAATATTTTACAGAGTAATATTTGTTTTAACTTATATTCACTTCACACTAAATATTTATTAAAAATATAGATACATTTTATTAATGTCAGTTTCAATCCTAAATATTGAAAAATACAAAGTAATGGAAAGATGATGCTAATACTACGATGTGTTGCTTTAACAAATAGAGACCAAGTCCCGCCAGTGTTGTCGAAATTTCCAATCTAAATACATGTTTCATTTAAATAGTGTCGTCATGAAAAAATAATAGGGTTTCAGAGTATATTATTGTATAATAAATTTGTCAAGTATTTTATATCGTACTATATGGAAACAAAATAATAAATTACGCTTTCCTGTATAAAGCAAACACTTATTAGTTTCCGTTTAACTGGTCGATTTAATTTACAACAAAACAATTAGTCCGATTTTTGTGCCCAGTCCGACTGAAAAAATGTATCTCTTGTGCTTAACGCAATGCTAGGCAATATGTTTAACTACTTAACTACAAAGGCGCTACCAAAAAACTATTTCTTTCATAAGAATCCTCTCTCACAAAGTTAATCATTTATATGGTAAATACATTTTTAAAAAATTAAGAAGAAATAGATAAAATACTGTCTATAGTTTACTCGAGTAGTAAACAATTAAATAAAACACTGTTTAATATATCTCGTTTTAAACCGTTAAAGGTTTTCTTTTAAATAAATAGATAAATACAAACAAATACAAAGGCCGTGTAAGTGAATATAAGTTTTATACTTTAAGAGTTAGTTTTAATTGTCGTTAGCTTTGGATTTAAGAATAGATATGCTATGGGAGTGTCAAGAATATTCCAGCAGATAGAATAACAGCACCATAACTCACATCCTGAAAAATGCAACTTCATTGATTGAGTGTGACGAACATAAGGAAGCGGTAACAAAATCTGTTTGTAATTGCTTGTTTTCCGATAACGATTTTCCAGAAGAGACTCTCCATGAGGGCTGTTGGAAAGCCCTAAGGTAGTTAAAAATTAACAGATATATCCCGCGTTTTAAACGCTAAATAGTTTAATATGTAAAGAATACGTTCCGTAGCATATCTTTTCGTTGTTAACTATATACATTTGTTGTTTCTTCGATACCAAAACGGCATAACTAACGTTGGTGATTTATTTTAGAGCTAATTTCACCAAGAAATAATGAAGTGGTTTAAAGTCGGCTTAACGTCATACAAGAGTTTTCTTGATGAACTAAAGATTAACCAGTAAAATTGATGGAGTAAGACCCAGTGCTGGGGTCGAAGTTTTGAGCAGGATGACCCGAGAACGGGTTGTAATTCTGGTTTTGGTAGTTCTGGCTTTGATAGTTTTGATAGGGCTGGGGAGTGTATGCCTGGTACGAGAACTGTGGTTGCTGGTGGAAAACTTGGCTCTGTGGGAACGTCTGTGGCGATTGGTTTACGAGGTTTGTCTCTTGGGAGAAAAGATTGGAACGCTGAGGTGAAGATTGGAACTGGAAGTTCGCTTGAGGTTGGTAGTTTTGGTACTGGGGCTCTTGGTAGTTCTGCTGGTATTGAGGCTGGGCAGTCTGCTGGAAGGTCGGAGCAGGCGCTTCAACAGGCCGCTGGTACTGTCTAAACGAAGGCCTGGACTGAGTGCGTCCATTGTATTTGGGGTCTTCGTAGATTTTAGGGTCTTCCCTGTATTGACCGTCGTCTTCTTGGCCGTCGGTTAGCGCGTTGTGGCTTGATGGATCGTTTAGGGTTGGTGGAGGCACCATTATACCAGAACCTGGAATCGGAAAAGATTTTTTAAATTGAAGTGGCATACTTTAATTTATTATTGAGTGTTCGTAGAATTCTGTCACTAAACGCTTTATGAATATCAGTTATTATTAATAGTCCGTTTCTAATATTAATTGACTACATTTCTAAAATATTATAATGATACCACATTTGCAACAAGTTAAGAAACATTCCTTACCTAAATATTTTTTTTACTTAAACTGTTTTAGGTTACATAAATACATAATATGTAATAAACTTTTGTAACTTCGTATATTACTTAAATAATGAGAATAAATTTTAATAATCTTGATCCAAAATATTTACAAAAATATTAAGCAACTATTATGATATGTTACAAAAAATTTAGGTAGGTGGATAGATTTCTGTTACTAGTATGTAAATTGGAGGTGTGTAGTATTATGTGATAAAGCATCATTTCAAACAAATTTCATGACTTTTTAATGCTAAATATATTACTCTAAGTAATAATATTCAATGAAAGAATACTGAAATATGTTTTGGATTACAAAAAAATGTAATATAAAAGATGTTTACGGGGCGGACAAACTCATTTCTTTAATGAACTTTGTTGGTAATTAAGTTTCATAAATTTTCTTTATTGATAGTATATTATTTTGAAAACTTTAATTTTTCCATATTATTGCATATGATGGCATTATATAAATTAAAATTATTGCGCGAGAGTTGCATGTATTTATAAGTTAAAAAACTTTGACGATGAGGTGTAGGACTCGGTAGCTCAATTGGTTAAAGCAACAGCACGGAACCCTGACGACGCCGGTTCAATTCCTGCCCGAGTATATTTTTTTAATTTATTTGATAATTTATTTTATTTTTGTTTTGTTTAAGATCGACCTTATCGATATAATTCTTGTATTATATAAACAATAAGACTTTAAATAACTGTAACACAGTCGTAAATACCTTCTGGTTCAAATCCTCGCTGACTGCTAGCGCCATAGGACACTTCCCTCAGTTTTCCACCCTCATCAACATAACCGTATTTGCCCGCGACGTCCCCGTTTGGGTACTTTGTTTCAATCTTGAAGGAGCCATCTGCTGCTTCATATCCAAAGCTGTAAGATCCGTCGTCGTTCTGTCTGTTGATCTGCTTGAGGATGGGCACTGGCGTCGTCGTGGGAGCGCGTTGGGAGGAGACGCATGCGCAGGCTGCGACAATTAATACTGCCTGAAACATTTAGGCACGAATAGTAAAGTACGACTGTCTCGGTAGTTTAATGGCTAAATGGTAAGCCGAATCCCCGGGAAAAAATATATTGTTTTTATTGAGTAATCTTATCAACTACTTGCCTATAAATAAAATCGATTAGTGGAATTACACAGAAATGATTTCGCACCATGCCCAGAGCGGAAGTATAGTACGAGTCATGTTGTAAGCCAAGATGACTAGATCCCTAATAAGCACTTTTCACCTTTGTACTTATTAAACATTTTGACAAGATTAGTGTATCTCCGTATTAAATATACTCATTTTTTTCGTATACATTTGCCTATAATAAGCTTTAGTCTTTATCAAATAAATACGTGAAATTTAAAAAATTGTACACTTGACCATTATCACAGAACTACGCAGAACACGCAAAACGGAACTGGCGAGTGAATGTACTGACCTTGACTGACTGCGAAAAGATTAATGTCGAGATAGTTTTGGACGCGGTGTAATTGCGGAAGTGTGTCTGCGTATTATTACTCCAGCGGGGTATAGATTAGTTAAGATATTAATTTGATTTTCCTAATTAATCATGGCTTTGTACGACAGTAAAATGTATTTTAATTTGAATAAGATTTATTTTTGGTCTTTTCCAAATGTGGCCTATTACTGTGCATATGTTTCCTTTTTCATATCAGCACCCTCCAGTGCAAGCTTAAACGACTACCATTCTTAAATTTCAAAATTAAAGTTTAATGTAAAATCCAGAGGTGACTTTCAAAACTTTCCGACTCCGAGTTGCTAATTCGAAATTTTATTTCATCATGGACCTCATGAGGTTACTGTTAACATAACAGTAATATATATATATCTATTGTGAATTCACCAAATTATCTAATTATATCCTTTCTTGCGAAATATAGGTACATATTATGATTCGATAATAAAATAACATTGTATGAATCACTTAAATCTAATTTAGTCGTGTTATATTTTTCTTACTGTAATCTGAACGTGTTTACAAGCCTTACAAAGAACGTACAGGAAAGCTGACAAGTCGGCCTTGTTGGATTCAATCACTTGCAAAACAGACCTCTAACATCGTTGTCTCTGAATAATTACTTCTGGAATGTGATCTAAAAAAGGGTATTTTACTGCGTAATAAAATTGTCGTCTTTTTTTAATACATTTTAATTAATATTATACCAACTCTCTACCGCTGAATAAGCGGGACTAGAGTGATACCATATATACACAGTTACCGTATAATTTAAGATTAAAGCGTAAATGAAGATTATAGACATATAAGTTACTATAACACATATAAGTGCCTATAAGTTTACTTTAGTATAATGCTGTTAAATTTGCTCGACAAAAACAAGCTAGCTAAAGCTATTCAAGAAATGTTAACTAGCATAAGTGTTAATATAATATTAGGCTTGTACGCGTGGGTATTTTAATTTGAAACTAATAATGTCAAATAATGACGAACTACAAATGTTGTCAGCCATGACATTATTCCCATAGACTGGTTAAAAGGAAGCGAAAGACATTACTAAAATATTGATTGGGAGGATGTCTAACATGTTATTACGTAAATAAGTCGAATCCTTAATGATTGTTGCACTTTTAAACGTATCATAAATATGACTGATAAAAAAAATAAAACACGTTAACGGTTTAAAAAGCGATAATTAGAAATGATTTTCAACTAATATTTGCGTTTTGAACCGTTAAATTGTTTTATTTAAATGTGTACTGCTCGCGTAATCTATAGACAGTATTTAAACCCCTTGTAGTGAGGTACAGACATTTCTGTGTCCGTTTACCGTTACTGATCGCAAGGAAGCAGGTAAGTAATTTTATTAGTGGCGACCGAAAGAATGTAGTTTTCTATTTAAACCCTTTCTGAGGTTCGTGCTTATCGCATACAAACATGTTTGGCCAGAGGAAGTAAGATATTCGGCTTTCAAAAAATCTGCTTTCTTTCAATATCTTTAATTATTACTTATAAATCTATATAACGAACTGAAGGGACTGTGCATTTTATTGTCTTTAAATGGAGAGAAGAAACATTGTATGAAAAACAAGCTAAACCAACCCCCATATTGCCGCGCTTAAGAGAGTTTGTCGTTAAATAGAGTGACGTTACATGGAGTTTACACTGTATTATAAAAAATATGATAATCCCATAAATAGGATTTGATCCCATCGTCTATTTCGTTACACAATTGGGCGACGGAAGCAATCGTTTATGGATAGATTTAACTCATTCATTGCAATTATGTAAACACTAGTTTCGAAGTCGTGGTTAAATTATATATATCACAGCAACAATCGTTATTCAAAGAGTAAGGTACCAGCAATTAGCATGCCACACAGAGAAGTTTGGGCAACGCCGGGCGCTTGGCCTAGTTTAGTTTCACAATTACTATCGTTACGCCTGCTACGGAATTCCAATACTCTCTTCAAGGTCGTGACCAATTTTAGAGTAATGAGGTTCGTTTAAAAGAAAGTTCCAAGTCACTGAACTTAATTTAGCATTATGTAATCATAAACGCTGTCTTTAGGAACTAACGCATTTCATAGACTATTGTTTCATATGAAAGACTTCAACGCGCTATACATGCATGAAATTGAGAATGCGTGTTTATAAATTGAATTTCTTTACATTCTTATTTCATATTTTATTAGCAAAAAAGGGTATTTAATTATATTATATTACTAGGAATCCTATAATATATTTATATCAAGGTAATTTAAAGTTTAATCGATTAAATATCATAACTTCATTCCGCAAATACGTTGCATCATTATCTTATAATCATACCGGTAAGTATTTTACACAGTATGCGCTATAACTATGTCAATGGACAAGAAATTCCATAAAATTAGGCTCAGTATCAACACGATTGCTTCCTAGGCACTCTAGATCGGGTTAGTCAATTATTTAGGTCTAGTTGCACAAAGCCACGCCTACGCATTCCTACCTTATTCTGAATATAACACGGATTAGAGTCGTTTTTAGATAAATAAGCAATCGCTACATAAGGTGAATTTAGACGTCTCTATTTAAATTGATGTACAAATGTCCGATATGTTTTGACAGTTCTGACATTAGCTTTATCCTAAGCACTATATTGTTCGCTATACGCCTGTTCCCAGTCTTAAGTTACAAACAACGGTTTCAACCTTGTTTGTAACTTGTATTGAGTTCATTAATTTTATAGGAGCCTTGTATAAAATAAGGTGTTATTGGCGCGTTTCTAGAACAACAAAAGATCACGTCTTGTAGATATTAGCGAGATATTGAAACAATATCGTTAGAGCTTTTTAACTTTGAAGTAGCATATTCTATTTCTATATTTTTGGGATGCAAAAAGTTACGGATAATCTCATAATAATTTACGTATAGTGTGATATAACGTTTTTAACTATATGTAATTTTACTGACACAAAAAAATTAAACTTTTACCTTAATTTCTAGAATAGATTACAAATACAATTAAATATTTTCTTTATTTTATAATAATTGGCAATGGATTATATTAGAATAATTCAACTTTAAAATCAATAACGCTTTGTTCATATACGAGTACGTATAAGCTACGCATGAAGCGCTACGAAATATATTATTTTGTCATTCGTCACGGTGTCTGTTGCACTCCCGTTATTATATTATGTCTTTCGCACTATTTCATTTCCTCAATGCGAAATCATTTGAATTGTACAAAAACATTGAAATAGAAGGATAACGTTACGAAATATTACAAAAATAAGAAAAATCTTTGTCTACGTAATGTCTACGAGGTGTTTGTTTCGTTCGTATTACTTACTTTTATTTAAAAAAAAGGCATATAGTTTAGAAGGCATTAGCATTAAAACTTTCAGGCTGAACAAATAAATCACATTATCGAAAAATATTCGATGTCTACTTACGAATCTTAATTTTGTATAATGTAAAAGTAAAATATTCCTTAGATGATATCAATTAAGTGTTTATTAAACTTTGTTGACAAACAATAAAAACTAACCTTCAAGACGAACATGGCGGCGATTTTCCAAAAAGCGAATGTCAAAATTTCCCGCGCTTAACGTTGGCTATGGCGTCCATTCACACACTCAGGCGCGTCTGGCGAGCACCTGTATTTATAAAGTCGTAGTTTTCGTTACAACAGGCTTCTGATATTGACATGCGGTCTGCGAAGCCCTTGCGCGGTTTTGTAATAGATGCCCGATTGGCTTTGATTGTCAAATTAGTTAATAACAATTATTGGGTGACACACTTTTTGATGATCTTCTTTTTCTTTGTTCTTGTTGTTACCCCATTCTTTCTGCTAAATACCACATTGGACGAGGCGAAACAATATTGCAATACTATGAATTCATCTCACACAACCTGTACAAAGATTTTGAATCTGTGCCAAAGGACTCCGTTAAGAAGCACAGGTAAAGACGTTTTTAAAAAATACAAAAAAAATCTTAGTTATTTATAATACACGTGCTAATTAGGAAGATAATATTCCGTCCAGGTTTTTTTTAATACTTAACAAAAAAACTTTTTTCTGTATTTCTGGCTAAATCCGAAAAGTAACAGAAAAAAAATGAACTAAAAGAATCCTAAGGATGATAATTCTTTTGATGTTGCACTAGTATTATACATAGTTTATATAAAATATATGTATTTAATTTGACATTCGAACCAAGTGCCCCTAATATATTCAATAATTAATAGCTAATAGGTAGGTAAAATGAAAAACCATGGTGATAAATTACAAATATATTTCCTGTTTCGGTTACTTAATTTAAACGTTTTACGGGTACGTGTCCTAGTACGGTCATCGCAACTTGATCTATTACGATTACATATTATCTCGGTATCGCGTTCCAGTCGCTTAGCTGGGTTCGAATCGCATGAAAAATTATCTCAATTTGAAAACAGAATTTATTTAATTGAGTTATGCAAGATAAGAGCTTAGTTACATAGATGACCACAGAGATATATTCAAGGTAAGTCATTTTTAATA